CGTTACAATTGGTGGCAAGCGGCGGGATCATTCCCACAGCCCAGAAGGACAGCTACAAGGCAACACCAGTTGCTGGATTACAAATTGAGGGCAACGCTAGTACCCGTACAGTGCCCCTGCCTACGAAAGAACCAACTTCAGCAGCGCAAGTTACTGTCAAGAGGAGTTTGACGCTATGTTGAAAAGGCTGCTGGCTTTCTTCTGACCCAATCCAGAGGAGAAATACGTACAGAGCACGAGGAAAATAGTGGCAGAATACCTGCAGTTCAAAGCAGATTTGGCCAAAAAGGAGCCCCAGGGAGCCAAAGGTGCCATCCTTCCTCCCCAGCGGCAGAGTGAGTTACAGGGAGCCAAAGGTGTTGTCCTTACTCCCCAGCGGCAGTGTGTGTCCTTAAGAGAGGAGACCGTGGGTCCCTCTCCCCAGCAGTCCAGTGAGTCCCAGGGAGACAAAGGTGCCGTCCTTCCTCCCCAGCGGCAGTGTGTGTTACAGGGAGCTGAAGGTACCGTCCTTCCTCCGCAGCGGCAGAGTGTTCTGCAGGGAACAGAGACAGTCGGTCTCGCTCCCCAGCAGCAGGACAATATATTGAAAGGGGAGACAGTCTGTCCCGCTCTCCACCAGCAGAGAGAGTGTCAGGGAGAGGAGCCTGCTACCCCATCTCCCCAGCGGCTGAAAGTATTCCAGGGAGAGAAGTCGGTGACCACCTCTCCCCTGTGACAGCTTATTTCACAAAGGGAAGACCCTATTCTCCCAGATGGGGCAAATGAGACGGTCGATCTCGCTCCCCAGCAACAGGGAGAGTGTCAGGGAGAGGCGCTTGTCACCTCCTCTCCCCAGCGACAGTGTTTAAGGGAGAGGAGGTTGTTACCCCCCTCTCCCCAGCGGCAGCCTAGCCCACCAAGGGGAGATAAGTCCCACACCGTGGTCTCTGCACATGCCTCACAGGGGCTAGGGATGGTCGGTCCTGTAGTTATTCATCCAAAGGGGAGACAGCCTGTCTTCCCCTACAGCAGCAGTACCAGGGCCGGAGTGAGGAGCCTACTACGCCATTCCCTCAACTGGGCTCCAACCAGGCTACTCCCGTGGTAGCGCGGGCAACAGGGCAGAGTACCGCTAGTCTCTGCCAACTCCGCAACCCACCGATCTGGAGTACTAGTACCCGCCAGAGCCGAGGTGGAGCTCCTGGACATGGACAAGTGACCCACTACCCCACAGACTTTATTGTGGGTGGGCTGTACTGCTGATTGTGTTCTGTGGGTGGGTTGCTGGACTAACCAGGGCACTGACCGACAAGAGGTCAGATACCCTGTTAGTCTGATTGTTAAAAGGGAGAAATGTGGCGGAACCAACCTCACCACTGTGCACTGGAGGAGCCTGGTTGCTCTCCTGCTCCCTTTAGACTATGGCCCAGCATTTAAAACCTTTTATTTTCCCTGCAGGAAGGCTTATTCGTGCCTTTCTGCCGGGGTGTTGGGTAGATTCAATCTACCAAACAAAGTACCGAACGATCGACCACCTGGGAACTGGAGAGTGCTGTCAATTGGCCGCCCAGAAGTTGCGGTTAACCGCAGCTTAATTGACGAACGCTGGGTGGCCTTTGTTCATTTGCTGAACACGTGGCAGCGGCCATTTTAACTCCCGAACGGCCAGCGGTGTTCAGCGCCCAAACTATGGAACTGGAAACGGACACTTATTTGCACGAACACCGCTAAGCTGCCAGCCTCCTTACCTCTGCATTTGGTAGTATAACAGAATGCCTGTTCATTCAGTAGTTTAACCGTATGAACAGCATCACCCTAGATAGCCATGCCATGGAGCCTATTTGTGTAACGAAAGACTATGGGAAAGACTTTGGCTCCATGGCGATTGAATTGTATGTATGTGATCTGAGCGCCATTCGGTAATAATGTGCGCTCAGATCTAAGCTATCTGGGGATATGCAGAATGTATGTGTTTTATTCATTATTTGTAACATTGGGTATTTTTGTGTCTTTTTACTAACATGTGCTCAATGGAGTTTTGCCTCTGTCCTGGGAGATAATTGGATTACTTCCAATTATTAGGAGGGATTGTGATGCATTGTGGGAGTGTTTAAAGGTGTATGTCTGTGATTGGTTAATGTCCAATATGTTTCCCAGTCTTCCATCTGGTCCCCGAGGGGAGTGTCCACCAGGTTGAAGACCTACATAAAAGCTGGGCAGGTAGCCCCAGTAAATCAGTTCTGCTTGACCCTAAAACAAAGTGTCATCTCGTTATTGGGGGGAATTGGATTGGATGCTGTTACAGTGCGACTGACAGGAGTGTAAGCTGTTCGTATGGTTTTTCCTGTTCGGCTGTTTAACAGCATTCGTGTGTTCGGGAGTTGGTGAATTCATGTGTTTGCAGTTCGGGAGATTGGTGATTGCAGTAGCTGTCTGTGCATCTGAAAAGGGGAATATCGCCTAAACGGTTTTTAACCTCTTGTGTGCAAAACGGTCCGTTACAACCGGTTACCCACTTGTGAATCCCAGTGGCCTGCCAATATCTGGAATAGGGTGAAAGGGGGACTCGTGTTCTATGAAGACCTCTTACTTCAGATCTCCTATAGCATAATCACAATGCATGACATCTTGTCCTACTGTTCCTATTTAATTTCGACCTGTTGTGTCGTTTGTTTATTTTCGCTGGCATGAGGCTCGTATTTTTAAGGATCAGTCCAGTGGTATAAGCTCCATAATGTGTGTACCTAGTCCATGTAGCGGCAACTAAGCTATATCACCTCTATATATATTTGCTTAGCAATTGATGCTTTTTCAGATCTCTTTGTTGCACACACAACATTCCCCTTACATGGCTCTCCATCTCTTGTGGACTACATTACTTCTTGTGAAATTGGTATAGTCTAACCTGTATACTCTTATCACTGTTTTAGTTTACAAAAACAGCAGTTTTTTTTGGAAATTACTCTGACATGTTGTAATGCTTGTTCTTGTGCTATTACTCATGATTTAACTACATGTCTTGTATTACTTAAAAGCCCCACAAACAAAAACAAAAAAGCGTAACACAAGGGGAACAAAAGTTGGAATGGTGGGATAGGACCCATAAATTGAGACTGTCCTGCTAAAATCGGGATGGTTGGGAGGCTCTTCTCAATATTTATTTTGTACATATATTTTATAACTTATTATCTGCATTACACAAGGGCTAGTACAACCAGCATGAAGTGTTTCTTTCAATAGTTATTAAAAACTTAATTTTAATATATATATATACTATTTTTTTTTTCTTTAGGATATATTACTTAAAGGAATTTTGAAAATTATAGAGAATAACCACATAGCACCTCTGAAGTACATCACCTTTCCCCTGGAACAAATTCCTTTTCTGGGCAGTGTTTCGGTGAAGCCTAGTGTTTCCACTAGTAAAATGACAGGATTCTTAAGAAGAACTAAATTTTTACAAAATAAGGATACCGTCGGTGACCATTCGAGTGGTCTCATCTCTTCATGGCACATTTCTCCTATTCATTTGCCTTTGGTTGGACAAAACTGCTGGCCACACATGTCTGATGGCTTTAGCTTTACTCTTTGGTTTAATCTAGAGCACAATTCAGAAGTGGAGAGTTTGATGGTGAAAGGAATAAAGAAAAAAAAAAAACAATTTCCTATTCGAGCTGAGAACCCAGGTAAAGTTGTTGCTGTGTCATATATCAGGTTCACAGAAAAATTGACATATAACACCAATTACATAAGGTTTAACATAAATAGACATAGCTACATAAAGAATCGAAGAAAGTCTTGCTTTTGCAATCTTACAATCTAGCATTAGCTAGTTGGGATATAAACAGCTAAGGGGCGGCATGAAAGGGAAAACCAGAATGTAAAAATTAAATTGGCTGTGATTGCAAAGGACGCAAATAAGGGCCGAGCCAGCACAAGCCAAACGCAGACCTGGCTAATTCGCATCTCCTCATAGAGATGCATTGAATCAATGTATCTCTATGAGGAAAGTTTAGTGTCTCCATGCAAAGGGTAACCCAGTAAGCACCTCTTGTAGCCATCTGAGGAGTGGCCACTGGAGGTATCCCTAGGCTGTAATGTAAACACTGCCTTTTCTTTGAAAAGACTGCATTTACTGCAAAAAAACTGAAGGGACTGAGTTTACTCACCAGAACAAATAAAATAAGCTGTAGTTGTTCTGGTGACTCTAGTGTCCCTTTAAGTAATTATTGTGTTTCTGGTAAATGCATTTTATTTTTGTTCCTCAACATTAAACCCTTAAGGAAGGAGGCAGTTGTACAAGTTTAGATCAAAACAAAATGTAAAGAAAACCTGGAATTTGCGTTACATGTTGTTCAACCATAATTCACCTCTTTCATGCTAAATGCACCCACACTACTTATATATCATTTTGTTTAGGGGAAACAGGGCTTTTATTTCAAAATCAAATATTTATA